AAAAAAAAAAAAAAAAAAAAAAAAATGCGAACCAAAGCATGGCCCTTTGAGGATCTGCAGGGGGCTCTGTCTAGGAAGATAAAGGATAGGGTGCTAGAGGCAGGTGGTGGTAGAAGGCGGCAGGTAGCTGGATCAGAGCTCACAGGCCATGAGGGCTGTATGTGATAAGGAATATGGGCATTTTCCTATTATATTCCTGTAAACATTTGACAGATTTTAATTTCCCAAAAACACTTGGCCTGATATAAAGCACTGCTGTTGTCAGTATTGTTGCTCACTTTGGACTCTCAAGAGATAAGAGGCCCTGAGCTGTGAACAGTTCACAGACCGCCATCTCTAATGCTAACCCTTCAAGTTCCACTAAGAAAATCTATTGGAATTTTTTTTTTTTTTTTTTTTTCAAACAGTCTTGTTCTTTGGCCAGTCTGGGTGCAGTGGCTCACTGTAACCTCCACCTCCTGGGTTCAAGCAGTTCTCCTGCCTCAGCCTCCCGAGTAGCTGGGATTACAGGCACCCACCACACCTGTCTAATTTTTGTATTTTTTAGTAGAGATGGGATTTCACCGTGTTGGCCAGGCTGGTCTCAAACTCCTGACCTCAAGTGATCCACCCGCTTTAGCCTCCCAAAGTGCTGGGATGACAGGTGTGAGCCACTGTGCCCAGCTGGAATTTAAAATAAGAATGATGGTATTATATAGATAACGCTGAGTCAGTAGACCTAGGTTCACCATAATAAACATGTTCCTCTGCCCAGCAGTTTTAAGTAGTGAAGAGTTTTAAGTAGGGGCACTGTGGACCAGATTTTGGCTCTGGAAATACATTTATGATAGAGGTGAGGAGGGGGTTTGGAGGGAGTGAGGAGGATGAAGATGGAAGGAAGACACCAAAGGTAGGAAAGGATTGGAGGACAGCCAGGCGATAGTGGGAGATTCAGCAGGAGTTGGCTGCGGCTTAGATACGCTGGGGAGAGTGACTTAGGCATAGCTGACTCGGGGTCATTCACTAAGCAGGGGAGCCCAGGAGGATACACAGATGCCAGCAGAAAAACTCTGGACACGGGGTGGCTGTGGGATCACCTGGTAGAGATCAGTCCTTCTGTGCAGCTTGGGCAGTCAGCCAGGGATGGGGCCACCGACGTGCTGTGGCCTCGCAGAGAGCACACAGAGTGAGTCAGGCAGGAGTTGGATTTTCCAGGTCTGCTGCTTTCTGCGTGTGATCTTGGGCAAGTTACTTAAACCACCTACATATGTTTTGTTGAGTATAATTGGGAATGATACTTACCCTGACAAATTGTTACTAGGATTAAGTAGTATAATGTATGCAAAGTACCCAGCACCTTGACTAGCATCTAGTAGGTGTTTTTGCTGGTTTGTTGTTGTTGTTACTGAGATAGGATCTCACTCTGTTGCCCAGGCTGGGGTGCAGTGATGTGATCATAGCTTACTGCAGCCTTAAACTCCTGGGTTCAAGCGATCCTCTCACCTCAGACTCCCAAAGTGCCAGGATTATAGGTGTGAGTCACCACGCCCAGCTAATAAACCATAGCTTTTTTTTTTTTTTTAGCAGAGTCTAGAGTGTAAAAGACATGGACTCAAATACAGTAAATCCTAGATCTTGTTCTCTATTTTTGGTAACATTTTAAGTGATACATTTTATCCTTTTTAGTAGCCACTCCAGCATTATAGGGAGAGTATGGGGAGAGTCTTATGTAAGTGCAAATGGCATTCCCATTTGTTGAGAAAACAGCCCAGCCAAGCAAGCTGAAGCAGAGAAAGCTTTTCTTTGGGGCAGCACTTGGAAGGGGAAGGGAACACGTCCTGGGAGTGGGATCACATAGCATGTTTTGCGCAGGATGGGGCAGGTTTGCTCACATGCAGTCTGAAGTGTTGGGAAAGGAGGGGAGTGAGACTATCTGGGACAGCTTTAGAGACCTGTTCTCAGTGTCATCAGTTCTCTTCAGACCTTTCTAATCTTTTCACCTTTTCTTCCCTTCCATGTTACTTGCCCTGCTGTACAGATTTTGATGCAAACAATATCTTCAAGGCATTCTTCGGCGGTCCTGGAGGCTTTAGCTTTGAAGGTAGGTAGGCCTGCTGTTTTTGGGAGTTCCGAGATCACAAACCAGCACACTCACTGCCACTTAGGCAGCTCAGAGGGGCCCATGAATGGAGGCGGCTGAATTCTCATCTAGCAGGGCATCTATCCACTCAGCTATTGCTGAGGCTGAAGACAAGAAGGTTCCCAGGACCTTGGGACCTTTAGCCACTGCATCTCTGCAGGACCAGGGAGGCTTCTCTGCAAGAGCAAAGGTGTTAAGAAGCTACCCATGTATAATGTGGTCACAGGCTCCCTTTTGCACCCAAAAACAGCCTAGGCTGTTTGATACCCATAAAGTTTCCCTGAGTTTGAAGCAGCCCTTAGACTCTTCCATAATCAGAGCAAAGTGATCTTCCCTAGAAAATCCACAGCCAACTAACCAGCCCTTCTTTTCCCTTTCAGCATCTGGTCCAGGGAATTTCTTTTTTCAGTTTGGCTAAAAATGCAGATTTGCTCAGTTTAATCTTGAATGTGGAAACAGTTCACCTCCTCCCTTCATCGCGTCTCCGTGTACTTAGAGCAGTTTCGTTTTCTCAGATGGATGCCCTGTGTCTCTGTGAGTGGGTGAAGCAAAGGGAACCCATGCTGAAGACTGCGGGCAGGGGAGGGAGGCGGGGGGTGGACAGGGAGGCAGCTTGTGAATTTTTGTTTTACTGTTTAACTTTATTAAAAAAGGAAAAAAAAGAAGAGAATAAAATGTTTTGGCCCTTTCTGGCCCTTTGCTGTGGCAGCTGCTTTGTGTCACTCCAGAGTCTGAGCCAGAGCTGGGCCCGACCTGGACTTGGGGTGCAGCAAGCTGCTGCATGAGGGCTGTGGACCCTGAGCCTGGTGGCAGGTGGTCCTGCTCTGCCCCTCCCAGACCTGTCCAGTGTGTGAGTGCTGGGCAGGCCCGGGCTATGCCCCTGGGCCCAGCTTGACATCAGCCATGGAGAAGTTAGTTGAGAAAGCATGCTCGCTTTACAGTGGGGCTCCAGAAGTCACTAGAAGCCGTATGTATCCAAAGCTCACTCAGGAGCTCAGGTGGGTACTGACCTAGATAGGGCAGTTTAACTTACAAAGGCTTTTAGTTCCTGTTGCAGTGTGGGTTTGAGGGAGACGGTAGACAGAAATAACCCTGCCTCCTGACCCCCCAGACCCTTTTGAAGTGGGACAGGTGGCTCCAGAGCTCTGGTCTGGCCAATCAGCTATTTTTAGCAAAAGCCCCTGGCCTTCTCCACTCCCTCTCTGCATGCAGGAGACACTCTGCTCACGGATGCAGCAGCATATGCCATGCTGTCCTGTCAAGCATGGTGTTCAAGGTGAGTAGCCTTCTTGGGAGCTCTAGACACTTGAAGCTCTAGCTAAAGCTCACAGATGGCCAGGGACAGGCCTTGACCTAGAAAGATAACTTAGGATTTCTCTTCTTCTGAGCTCCTGCCCCTTTCTTTCTAGTCTTCCCCAGCTGGTGCCTTAGCCATGGTGAAATGATGCCCAAGTCAGGCCTGGGATGTTTCCCACGTGGCTGACTAGGCCTCTGGTGGCCTTGGAAGGGACTCAAATGTTAGGTCTTCCCTGGTGCCTGAAGTTGTACTGACCTTCAGGTGGCCTTCCCTAGAGAACTGGGAGGAACCCATACTAGGAGCTCCAGGTCTTACTGAGAGACCTTTCTGATCCAGGGGGCTGGGGACACCTGTGGGCCTGGTTCCCTCGTTAATGGGGTATGAGAGGCTTTTGTGCTCCCTGTCCCTTGTACCCAGCCAACCCCCACCTTCTGTATGAGTCTGAGGCCAGCCTCTGCTTTCTGCCTCCTCATGAAAGCCAACACTGTTCAGCTGCCCAACCTCACCACAGCTGTGCCCGGCCAGCAGAGGGGAGACAGGACCGATGGCCCCAAGCTGTGGGACAAAGCCAGTCCTAATACACCCAGCCCTAGCCCCAGGAAGACTGAGCTGGGCACAGAAGGGTAAGAGAGACTGCACACAGCTAGGATTAACATGATTTATTTCATTATCAGTCTTACAAGTTGCTGAGGTTGGGCAAAGCCAGGATAGTAACTTAAATCCAAAGCACTTTTGTTGCATGACAACCCGATTAGCAAGGCCCAGTTACTGAACTGAGGACAGTGGAGGGCACCCCAGGAACCACAGCACATGGACCAGTATTAGAAACCCCTTTCCAGAAGCAACTGATGGGACTTGGCCCTTACCATCCAGGGCTCTACTCCATTGGTTCTTGGTGCCCACCAGCCCCCGTTAGAGGAGGCCCAGAGGCCTCCAGAGGCACCATGGAGGCAGGATGGGCTGGGTGGACAGCAGGACTGGAGCTTCCTCACCACAGCAGAGCCACGCTACTGGAAAGGAGGGTCAGTCTGGCCCCTTCCTGGAGTTGAGGCCCCAGCTGGCGGGGATGTGGCAGCTGCTTAACTGTTCTGCTTTCTTCTCTAGTTATCAAACTGTTACCTAGTTATGGTGTGAAGGGGAGGGGGCAGGAACTTAGGACCAAAGGTGGGAGGTAGGCTCCTTTTTCTATCCTGGTAAATAGCCCCAGCCTTCCTGGGGCTAGACTGATTAAGAAATGGGATCACTCAGCCAGGTGCAGTGGCTCACATCTGTAATCCCAGCACTTGGGAGGCTGAGACTACTTGATCACGAGGTCAGTTCAAGACTAGCCTGGCCAAGATGGTGAAACTCCGTCTCCACTAAATACAAAAAATTAGCCGGGTGTAGTGGCAGGTGCCTATAATCCCAGCTACTCAGGAGGCTGAGGCAGGAGAATCGCTTAAACCTGGGAGGCAGAGGTTTCAGTGAGCCGAGATCACACCACTGCATTCTCACTCCAGCCTGGGGGACACAGCAAGACTCAGTGTCAAAAAAAGAAAAAAGATGGGACCACTCAGGAGGATCACTTGAGCCCAGGAGTTTGAGGTTGCAGTCAGCCATGATTGCACCACTGCACTCCAGCTTGGGCGACACAGCAGGACCCTGTCTCTAAAAACAAAGAGAAGGAGATGGAATCAAAGCCCAGAGGTCCTCCCCTTCTCAAGGCCACCACTAGTTCTCTGTGACCGTGGAAAACTACCCCAGACCCCCTGCCTCTGGTCAGTGAGTTTTGTAGGGCTCAGGTGTCTCCCCACTCGTCTGGCTCTGGGCTGGGGCTGAGCTAACCAGAACCTGGAAGTAGGGCTTGGGGTCCTGGCTGTGGCCCCATGCCTAGCTTGGCCCAGCCTCGTTAGGTTTGGTCCAGGTTCCCCCAGCATTAAAGGGAAAGAGGGCAGGACAGGAAGGGAGGGTCAGTTATTTTACAAGTTTTTAAAAAGTTATAGGTAGGTTAACTTTGAGTAAAAAAGTCACAAAACAAGGATCAAGCAGGACACATTTCCCTCTCCTCCCCTCCCCTTCTAAAGAGCGAAGGGCATACATGGTGGAAAGAACACTCATATGATGGTGCAGGACTGCAAGGCACCCCCCTTCCGGCTGCCTTGTGTGGGCACGGGTTTGCCTTTCCCGTAGTATCCCGTGAAGATGGCCCTGACCTCCATGTTCTTGGCCAGGTTCAACATCCAGCGCCCCTTGCCCAAGGAGTAGAGCTTGCCCCGGCTTAGCTCACCCACCTCCTCGCCTCGGCTGCCTCCCTTCTCCTCCCGTACAATCTCTAGGAGGTCAAGGCCTGTCTGCACAGCATCCACGTCAGCCGCACAGCCGAGGGTGATGTGAGCGCGGCTTCCCCGCGGCAGGTTGTCAGTGGGCAACAGCTTGTCCACATCATTCGGCCACAACTGCAGCTGCTGCTCGCTCAACTCCACCCGGGCCCCAGTCGTCTTGGGTGTCACAAAGAGGGCAGAGATGGTCAGTGTGAAGGCCTTGCAGTAAGATTTCTTTAACACCTGGGGAGAGGGAGAAAGAGGGCCCAAGCTAAATATGGTGGCCTCTTGAATCGGTGACCCAAGGAGGGTCCCTCCTGGAGGAGAAGGGGGTCTAACATAAGTGAGCACAGCTGAGCAGGGGTCGGGTATAGGCCCAGCATGCACAAACACCACGCACCTTCCACGGGCACGGCTTAGGCTCAAGTGAGAAATGCCAAGGCGCTCAGACAAGGCTGCGCAGGGAGAGCTGGACTTTCCCAGGGAGCCCAGCTCCCTGCACACTTGCTTCCGGCCTCAGCAGGCTGGCTGACCTCTTTGTGCCTTGGCTTCGTCACTCATAAAACAGGGAGAACTAGAGCCTACCTCAGAGTTAATGTGGTTATGGGAGTGACTATGTGAAGAGCCTACAAGGGTGTGTACACACGCAGCTGCTGTCACTGTTGGCACCACTCAGCTTCCCCTGGGACCCAGGCAGCGCCCTGGAGTGCAAGGTGAGGTCAGGCTTGCCCTTGATCAGAACCTGCTCTCACACTTTGGTTCACATCTGATGATGTCTGATTCTTTGAGCAAGCCCATCCCATCTCAGCATAAAAGCTTCTCTATTTTTGCCCACAATCGCTTGTCCCGACAGTGTCTGGCATGAAATGGGTGCTTAATAAATAAATGCTAAATGAAGGCATGGTTAGGGATGGTAGCAGCAGGTGTTACATATTCATACCCTAGGCTAGGGTGCTGGAATCAACGAAATTTAAAACACTTGCCCTACGGGAGCAAATAAACAACTGTGATAACCTAGGCAGAGAAGTGGGAGGGTGGGCTTGGGGTTGGACACTTGGAGGAGGTTGGAGACTGCAGATCTGAGACATGCCTGACATTCAAGGATCACTGTCGCCTGTGGCTGTGGGCGTAAGGTGCCGGCTGTGTGGTGCAGAAACGCCTGGTACCCTATTAGCCAATAAATTCACTCTCCTATGACACTCCCTCACTCTAAGGCCGGACATCAGGCCTGGGGACAAGGACAGGGACCTCAGTGCACCAGGCTCCCTAGGGGGAAGGGACTCCTAGCCTTTGGAAGGTAACACAGGCTCAGAGAGGCCAGAGCAGGAGCCCACTGTGGCCCAGCATTCTCCATACATCTGCAGAAGGAGAAGGTGCCTGAGGGCAGGCGAATGCACAGGCTGGTGGTACTGTCACAGCAGGCTCCTTAGAACCCGAGGCTGAGGTCTATGCAAATACACCTGGGGACAGGGGAGCTAGGAGATGCCATTTTTCTCGAGCTGACATCTGGTTTTTGGTCCCTGCCTGGCACCAGTACCCATCTCCAGAAGACACTGCAGTTCCTTGCCGTCCCCACCTGCCACCTCTGCCATGTTGACCCTGGGGAAGACTCACATCTTGTTGAGCGTACTCCTCTGCCCCGGGGGCCTTCCCGTAGTCACAAAACTTGGTTGTGCAGTGCAGCACGCCTGGGGGTCTCTTTCCAAAGTAGGTGACCAGATCAATCTTCTCTCTGGTCTCATCCCCAGAGAAAACTGCCAGGAGAAAGAGGGTGCAGTCAGGGCAGGGGAGTAGAGGCATATCAATGCCTGCCACCAGGACCACAGAAGCCCAGAGCAAAACACTTCCGGCAACCCACAGAGCTCATTCATTCGTCAGTTCAAACTAAAGGCAACTTTAGAGCTGTAAGAAGTTAAAATTCTTAGGCCGGGCGCGGTAGCTTACGCCTATAAATTCCAGCACTTTGGGAGGCCAAGGCGGGTGGATCACGAGGTCAGGAGTTCAAGACCAGCCTGAACAAGATGGTGAAACCCCCTCTCTACTAAAAATACAAAAAAAGTTAGCGGGGCATGACAGCAGGTGCCTGTAATCTCAGCTACCAGGGAGGCTGAGGCAGAAGAATTGCTTGAACCTGGGAGGTGGAGGTGACGGTGGGCCGAAATCAAGACACCACACTCCAGCCCGAGCAACAGAGCGAGACTCCATCTCAAAA